ATAGTTATAGTCTTCGACAATTGATAAAGTTCTTGCAAGAGTATATTCGTTCGTAGAGTCAAAACATCGTTGACGGAGTTTCTTAGTGTGTGCCATCTGATAATTCATGCTTCATTTTAATTGGTCGGCTTTAGGATCATGGGGTGCATGGATTGCATGATTATTCACCTTTCTTTCTTCAACAAACCCGCCTTGCCTGGACTCGCCACTGAGCTCTACGACGAGATCACAAGCTTCGTCGATGGTGAGCGAACGCGAAGTTTATCGAGAGGCGACCGTTGCAAAAGATGTGTTGACTGTAAAGTAAAGTGGTTTACAGTTAATCTGCAATCAATGTGGTATGGGTAAAGGGTATGAGATAATCAGCCGCAGAATCGCAGTAGGCATGCGAGTTTGACGGCCATGGAGGGACGAAACGTCGGTCAAACCTTTGGTCGAAAAACTGGCCCAAGTCATGACGCTGCTCCCACCGTTTTGGCGGTACAATAAGGTCGTTCGTTCTTGTGAAGGTCGTGCCAGTAATACTGAAGGCCGTCTGTTTCGTGTAGGTAGAGTTTCTTCTTGTCAGAGAAGATGACATGGTCCCAACCACGGCCAAGGTCAAAATGCGAGTTTGCCCATTCAGCCCATATGTCCTTGTGCCATTGAGTAAGGTGAGGGTGTGCCTTTCGCTTCTTGTACTTAAGGTAGGCAGAAGCAGAAATGACTCGGCGAATCGTATGAGCAGAACCATTAATATTTACTGTAAGGCAATGCAAAAATCAACTTGACCTCGATTTTCCTTCAGAAGCGAGACGCCGGATTCGACGGCGCTCGCATATGTCCAATTTCGACTTCCATCCAGGTCGTTTTTCAGATGCATATGTTTTGGGGTCTTGAGGCATCTCCAAATACTCCCCTTCGACACAAACAACTCTCTGGAAAAGCGTCGTTTCAACTATTAGGCCTTGTGAAAGGCCAATTCGATCCTTGCTGCTCATGTGTAAGTACGACTCCTTTAGGCATTTTGTAGATATCGTGAATGGTGTCTTACTTCATTCATTATGTAAGCATACCAGTCTTTTGGAGTGTGAACTGAACGACCAGAAATGACGATACAGTATATCGACACTGTACCTGTCTTTCTGTCTAGGCTCGACGTCCATTGATTTCTGTTTTATTTACTTTATACTACTCCGATCCAATTAAAGTGTCTACTGTGACTTTGAGCGGTCCCCAAAAGGAGGGAATTCTTTTTGGGCAATGTGAGTGGTTGAAATTGATTGAACAACGGATTTGTGTCAAGTTTGGCGCCATAACATTAGTGCTTGTGCGGTTTGAATGTCCACGCCGCCGTCCACGACACGGGTGTCCAGACCGTCCACGACCATGCCGACGCCGTCCATGCCGCCGTCTACAACACGGGTGTCCACGCCGCCGTCCACGCCGACCAGCCCTTGGACGACTCGCGTTCCGTTGGTGGAGAGCACGGATTGCGAGGCGTGGGAAGACTATGTTCCGAAACCCCGGAACAAGGAGTCGTCCAAGGGCTGGCTCCGCAAAATTGGCAGCTGGGTGGACATCAGTGTCGTGCAAGTGGAATCCGGCGACCTCGGCATGAAATTCCGATTGTCGCCGGACGGAACGTTGGTGCTAGTGGCGCTCGGATCCGTCGCCGACACCCTGGGCATTGTGCCCGGTTTGGTGCTGCAGGGATTCAAGGAGCACGGTTCAACGGGGTACATCGACAGCGGGGTTCCCATGCTGGACGACCCACAGGCCGTACTCCCAAGAGTTATCGACTTTCGTTTTTCCACCACGGTCCTGCGATATCTCGAGCCAAGTAGTCCCCGTGCCCACCAAGCGCTACGTTGGATGCACACACAACGCACCGCGGTCCAGAAGATGCGGCGAATGTTCAAGCAATTGTATCCCCAGGAAACCAACCTGGACGTCCTCTGTGCGACGCAGCATGAAGCGAAGTTGTCCGTAGGTAATCGTCGCCTACTGAAGGTACGGGCGGCGACCACACTCCCAAACACACCAGGCGGCCTACGTGTAATTACTGTTTATTTTACCTATAGTTTGGATATTGAGCGACTTCGTGTTCATGCATCGAGCCTTTATCACGCTCGAGACATGCATTAGCACGAAGTCGCTCAATCGAGAAACACAAAGTCGATCCTCAGTCGAGGGATAAACCAAAAGTCAGTTGACTTTCTGCAAGTCGATCTGTCGATTTAAAGTCGGTCCATAAACCAAAAGTCGATCAACTTCCTGAAAGTCGATCGACGTACATTCAGTCGATCGACTTCTCCAATTACTTGATCGTTTTATGGGAAATCGATCGATTATTCTTCTAATTATACAGCTCAACACAAACTTTCGACTGCCACTTCCTAGACAGATGACTTGTGTGAGAACGTGCAGACCGCTTTCGAGAACTTACCTTCCACGACGATTGAAAACGTGTTCTCAAGCTTTCAAGGTGTCCTTGCTAGCATTGTTGATATGCGAGGGCGACAACACTTCCAAGATGACGCACATGAAGAAGAACAAAAAGCACCGTACGATTGATGCTCCAGCTGAGTCTCGAATGTCCGCGGATGGTGCCGTGCGTGTCTAGCCATGATGAATAAAAAATAAAGTTTAAAAAACGGTATTGGATGAGTTTGCGGAAGATTAGGCAGTTGGTAGTTTAAAAGACTTACCAAGCCTACGATCTTTAGCTGTGACCTCGTTGTTGGAGTTTCTACCAATATTATTCATGTCATGCATAATTGTATCCAATCAAAGTAGAAGTGACAACTTTACTGGAATTTTGATAGTGGACACTTTAAGTGGATCGTAGTACGAGAACCGGGGATGAACTCGCCCACGGTTGTACCACAAAAGGTGAAATACGTAGGAATTGTATGGAGAAATTGAACAAATAGTAGGAAAAATCTTCCTACAACTTCGATTTTGTCGGTATCAAATATGTCCATCCGGAAGTTTTTGTCTTTGTTTCACTATTGAAATCGGCGGAAAATAACCGGAAGCAATTTTACAGCGTGTTCCAACAAGGGCGGATTACATCACATAGCGGGCGTCTAGAATGAACACGTAGGAAAGAGTTTCCTATGATTTGGATAGCCAATCAAATAGCTCAAAAACAGAGAAAAGGC